TTTTGACGTTCTAATTTATTTGTCCACATTTGAACAATTACATGCAGTTTATAGAGTTCTAGACTCTTGTAAAATTTTCTGTGGATTTGAGGAGTCGTTTTAAAGTTAAAGTTAAACTCAATGATGTTTAAAACAATTGGAGGAATATGGAAAGCAAAAAAAATATGTAAAAATAATTTTTTAATACATACCAAAACACCTTAACACGGATTTTGATTTTTTTTAGTGTAAAGACGTTCTAAAACATTTTTGACATAATTAAACGACAATTTTGGTCGACTTGTTGGCCAACTTTCACATCTTTAATATTTGATGAGCTTACAGAAAAAAGTAAATATTTCGCTAACCGTATTATTAATTATCAAACATAATAAGGTTGTGTTCTTTTATCATATTTATAATTACACATTTATGTTAATTAATGCAATTGTTTTATTTAAAAACAAATTTTTGATTACTATCTTATATTTAAATATATTTTCCTTATATTTGGATGAATATTGAAAAAAAATAAATGTTTACATTAAAAAGACCATTAAAATAAAAATATCTTTATTATTTGATAAGCCTATTTTGAAAGGGTTATTTTATCTTATATAGTTTTTTATTATTTATATTAGAAGTATGGTCATTAATGTAATAATAAAACATCGGTTTTTGAGGTTTGTGTAATTGATTGAAGTTTTCATTTTTTATATAACAATTTACTATTATAAAGTTAAGTTAATACTACGTGAGTAAATATTATTGAAATAAATATATTTGTAAAATAATAATTATTGACAAAAATGAGTGTCTAAATTAAAAATTCTTTGTGAAAATAATTTTCTTACTTCTCAATCTGAATCTGAAAAAATACATTGCAAGTCTTGGGGCACGGCAGCGGGCACAAATCGCTGTACCGGTACCTCAGGGCTATAGGGATCTTCAAATGTATATAGTTTATGTATGTTTGTTCTGTGCTTGTGTTGTGTCTGAAGTGTTTGTGTCGTGTTTGTGTGGTGTTTATGTTATTACATTAGGATGAACGTAATTTATTAGCGTGAAAGGAAGGGGTTATTTACCCCGCCCCGAGGAATATCGAGTACTCTGGGGTGAGTGTGTGATGTCTGGGGAGCAAAAGTAAGTTATTAGCGCGAATGGAGTGGGTTCGGCCCCGCCCCGAGGAATATCGAGTACTCTGGGGGAGTGAATGTGACCAGACTTTTATGTTAGTATTGTATGTTGTTTATATTTTACTCTGTTGGAATGAATGTAATTTAAGCATGAAAGGAAGGGGTTATTTACCCCGCCCCGAGGAATATCGAGTACTCTGGGGTGAGTGTGTGACGTCTGGAGAGTAAAAGTAAGTTATTAGCGCGAATGGAGTGGGTTCAACCCCGCCCCGAGGAATATCGAGTACTCTGGGGGAGTGAATGTGACCAGACTTCTATGTTTGTGGCGATGTATATGTTATGTATTGTATGTTGTGTATCAATTCTTAAATTGACAACCTGAGGTACTAACAAGAGGCTAGCTTTTTAAAATAACGACGTAATATACAAGTAAAAGCAGAGAGTCAGTAACCAGATCGAGATGCTCAAATGGCTGCAGTTCAATACAAAATACGCGAGAAAGACAGGAAAGAGAAGGAATACATGCGGAGGGCCGGCGATGACCTCAGCTGTTTGTCGGCCCATAAACCTTCCACTTTATATATATACATTGCAAGTTTTTTTCCACTAGACAAAACAGTGTAGATTTTTAATAAAATCTGGCACTAAATGAAATTTTTTATTGCATAGATGCCTTAAAATATTTGATAGCTGACTTTTAAAACAGTTTTTATGTCCTTTTTTATTGTTTTTATTGAAATTATATCGATGGATCAATTTTAACAATTTCCAACCCCAACAATTCAAAAATACTGTTCCATTTTTCAAATACTTTTATTATTAAAAAATAAAGATGTATATATATATATATATATATATATATATATATATATATATACAATAAAATTAAGTTCCAATATAAGTAATTTTTATGTTATTGAGAGAAACGTGGTTTAAATAAATGTATCACTCCATTTCATATACCAGCAATAATTACATATTTCAATTTACGGTATATCTTATTTTTTGGTTTAATGCAAAGGGGTTTTCTTATCTCAAGTGTTGGCAACAAAAAAAACCAGTGTCAAGGGGATGCGTGAGAAGAGGTTGCTCTAGGTCCAACCTCCCGACCAGACAGAAGTCCGATCAATTCGCGCTTGCGCCTCGATTTAACAAGCTCTAGGTTTATAGACTTCTCAGTTTATTATTGTTTTGAGTTGTCGAATAATGCTTTTTCTAATTCCTTTAACAGCTTTTTTACTAATTAAGTACAAAAACAAGAATAACTGATGAAAAACAATATATTTTTGGCTTGTATATATATTTTTTTAAATTAAGTACACAAGGACCTATTATTGGCAGGTTTTCTTTTCCTTTTAAATAGATAATAAGACGGGATCAATGATTGCTTCAATCAATTTTGGAATCTTAGACTTGCGAAAAAATACAACAAAAATGAACAAATTGTTCAGTAAATGGGGGCAATTTATTTTTAAACCAATTAATTTTATAGTATTTTATCGTACTGTGATGAATAAAATATATAGTGAGAATGACAAAACATAAAAAGTACTAATGTGAAACGCTTTATGCATAAAAAACAACCATTGTAGTTGAATAATTAAAATCGACATACAATTTTTTTAACAAATGATGAAATTAGAAAATTTCTAATTTACATTTTTTACATGAAATTTTCCGCAATTAACTATAGACAGTGGTATAACACAGACGCCGTTATCTTTTTACGCTGACCAAATGTCCCAAACATAGATTTTGAAAAACATAAATACATAATACATATAAAAGGCCACAAAAATTAAATCAAATCATTTCATTTCTTAAATCGCGTTTAAAACAACTTTTATGAGCATTTTTAAGTATGTAATTTCCCATGTTTTAATAAGTCATTAACCGTTCTACGTGCGTAATTAAATGAAAACAATAATAATAATAATAATACCCGACCTAATTAGTTGAAAAGCGAAAACCGGTGGTTTCTGTTTAGGGGGAAAAATAATTTTAAATAATTATTTGTGAAAAATGGCAAAAAGTAGGGAAAATTAAAAAAAAACTGACGTCGAGATGGGAAGTTGGTGTCCGAGTGGATCGAAGTCACGGAAGCTCAAATTGTAGAGCAGCGGCGTATCTAGCCGAAGATCGTGGGTTCGAATCCCGCTCGTGACCCTGACTTTTTTATCTAAACCAATACCTTAAATATAGATTAATTAATTGAAAGATATTATTTGGTCAAGCAGACCACGAAAACTAGTAAAGTTAAATTTATTGTTTTTTCTCTAAAATTGTATTTATTAATTAATATTATTTATTGACTAATCAAAACCCTAAAGCTAATTGGTGTGCTGTAAGTTATAACTAATGGATTGAAGACTGTAATAAACGCAATGAAAAGGCTTTTTACCCACCTGAACAAATATACCATCTACAGCCAAAGGATTGAGAGATAACATAAAAAATGTTGGTTATCGTTAATAGATGTTAAATTTGTAAATTTCGAAAATTTTAGACTCGACAGAGATTTGAATCTGACTTCTTTAGCTGAAGATGCGACGACTTGTACAAAAACCCAGAATACATATTAATAAAACAATTGAGGGGCGTCGGTGGCCGCAAGGTTTAGTTAGTCGTTGACACGGCGCTCATCACTGTAAGGTAAAGGTCTCGGGTTCGAATCCAGCGGCCCAGCATTCGAACCCGCCATACTTACAAATGGGCTTTTTTTCAAAAGGGTTGATATAACCCCTGCTGTTGCGAACCCTCGTAAAAAAAATTAATCTGTATGTAAGGTATTGGTTGAAATGAAAAAGCTAGAGTCACGAGCGGGATTCGAACCCACGACCTTCCGCTAATACGCCGCTGCTCTAACCACTTGAGCTATAGTGACTTAGATCCACTCGGACACCAACACCCCATCTCACCCTACCGTTCGAATTTTCTCTCCTTTTTGCCATTTTTCAAGCAATTTTTGACTTTAGCTTTTTCATTCCAACCAATATCTTACATAAAGATTAATTAATTGAAAGAAGTTATTTGGTCAATTAACCCACGAAACATAATAAAATTAATAAAGCATTAACACATTAATTAAGCACGTCTGTAAATATATATATATATATATAAGTTGAAAAATAATAATCCGACATACTTACAAATGGGCTTTTTTCAAAAACACCGGCACCCTGAGGGTTTATATGACCTTTGCTGTTGCGAACCCTCGTTATAAAAAAAATAAAATAAAAAAATAACTAAAAAAAAACTAGAAATTTAAATGATTTTAAATAATTTATAATATTAACTTTGATAACAATCACATATAAATTCGACGACTGCTTTGTGTACATAAGTAAAATATCTTCGACCTAATGCAAGAGTTGACACGCATACTTAAATATTCGAAATGACTAAGACAAACAGGCCAAACAGGATGATCAATGATGATAACACTGCTGACAAATCTCCTTGAGTATAAGAGGACAAAACAGAGAAAGCCGAAAGAAATTCCTTTCTTTTAAATCTTTTAAATTGTGAAGCATGATCAAATATTTAACTATTTTGAATAATCTAACCTTGTGAACCTTTATTTAATTGACTATATTTTTATTATTTCTGACTGTATTGATTTCATTTTATAATACTATTTAGAAACGTTATAAGCTTTGATTATTTGGAGATCGTGACCAGATCGCATCTCACGACCTCCAAATATTCATTAACTAACGGTCTTAACCGCCACACATTTGTTCGCTTGTTCAATTTTGGACATGAATGTTATTTAGATATAAAATGACCCTCAATCACATACTATGAACAATAACAACGATTTACTACTAATAGCCAAATCAATGTGATTTATAAATGTTTTGATATTTAATGAATTCTTCTTACCCTCTGTTTGATTTTATCCTTGAGGAACGGCTTGACCACGGCGAATAAAGCGTCAAAGTAAAGAGGCTGGTTCACGATATGGATGCCTTTGAACCTGAGTGGAAAGGCGTCCTGAAATTTTTTTATTTTCAAGTTGTCCAGATGAATTTAAGTTCCAAAGTTACCTGTATGACCTGAACAGTCCTCTTGGAATAAAACGGTGACAGGAGAGAGGCGTGGCTCGCCAGTTTGAAACCTGTCATATCAACTAATGCGGTCGCACCAGAAATCTGGTTTTTATGCTCCAAAAGGCACCATTCCAAGCCGAGCATGTTGGTCCTGAATATGTCGTCGACACTCACCTGGCCATCTTTGGGATCTGTTGACAAATAAAAATACGACAAAATTAATTTTGATACGTGGAGTCGAGGTAAAGCGGTTTCGTTTGTAAATTTTCTTAGGAGGTGAGCAGGAGATGGCAATCTCGGCCGATTTGCATTTCCATCCGTCTCGACGAACTACCCCTTCCGACAGATAAGTACACCCAAGTACCAGATTACCAGCACGTATCATGAAATTATATACTGGCTAAAATCGATTCTTTTAAACTAGACTGGATCGTTAAAAATTCCGCACAAGATAATCGGAAAATGAATGCGTTGGAAGAACACGGAAATTAATTGATTTCTGTGACTAATTTGAGGCTTAGCACTTAAGTACTGGCTGTTGTCGACGTTGCTGTAAAACACTGTAGTGACATTTATTGGCTCAAAGTGGTAAATTATTAACAATCACTCTTAAATTATTTTTGGCTTCAAAACATTTAAGTACATTTAACACTGGATTTGATGACTTGTTTCAATTACACGGAAAAATAAAATTCGATAGAATGTGAGGTATTTATATAAATCAAACAGTTTTCCTGTTATTTTCATTATTTCCCACTTCAAGAAAATTGATGACATGAATAAACATTGTTCAAATTCAAGCGAAGAAGGAAATTTTTTAACTAAATGAATATTACAGCTACCCGCAATGTTGGGTAACAAGTAATAGTCAACAAAAGTAAAAAACAAAACAAAAAAACTAAATTAAAAACAAAAACAATCAGAATGGAGATGCTACTCATTAGTAGCACTCCAAATTATATTACATGACATTTCACTATCACTATGTTCACTAGGCAGGAGATACCTGGGCCATCGCCAAATTAGCCTACGTGGAAGGTTGATTCGACGGGATGAGAACTTTGGATGAATGAGTTAATGTTGACTGGGAGTGATTTGTGGATCTTGGAACTGGAAGATACCTGGATTTGATAGTACGGAGCGTATGTTAAGGTCGTTTGGATGGTTTCATTCGTTAAGTAGAAGGGAGTTTTTAGGATTTTTCTAAGGATTTTGTATTGGGACGTTTGGATTCGTTGTATGTTGGAACGCATGCAGAACCCTCAAGTTTCAGTCCATAAGGCCAGATCGTTTTTATAGTATTATTTAAATTATACATCTGTTAGTTAGTAATGTATTTTAACTTTTGTCAACAAATCACATAAGATTATATTAATCCTTTTTAAAAAGATAGTTTCTACTCATAGTAAGTTGTTTTGCAACGATCCAGATTTCGAGCCCTTTAGCTCATCATCAGGAACTATCTTTTTAAAAAGGATTGAACACCACACTCACTCTATCCTTTATCATTTCTATAATTTCTATTTCTAAGATTAGATTATGGTTGAATAGTACAGAACGCAATATTTCTCAATAATAAAGTAATAAGAAATAATAAACAAACGGAAACAATATATTGTAATTTCCACTGAGGAGATTACTGATTTATAACAACTGTGTAAGTTATAAATCAATAGTCAAGTTATAAAATAATTTATGTAGAAATCGTGAGATGCGGTCTGGTGTGATGTGGGTTTCAGAAAAACATTTTCTTTATCGTGCCAACGTTTCTATCTTTATTCTACATAAATATCGATTAACGGTCACCACACATTTCTACACGAGAAGAACGAAGATCATGGGATTCTATGAACGAATTGCAACTACGTATGGATACGAAGCTAAAAGTATACTGAAGGACATCGCCAACAATGATAAGAAAGAAACTCGCATCGGCTCTCAATCAGAGAACTTTTTTGCTGAAATGCAGACAACACAAGGCTCAGAAGATGATCCCAATAAAGATCGAAACGTTGCCACGATAAAGAAAATGTTTTTCTGAAACCTACATCACACCAGACCGCATCTCACGATTTCTACATAAATATCGATTAACGGTTACTAATCACCACACATTTATAAAATAATAAAAGTAATGTCATAAGTTCAACTCTTCACGCGGATGAACAAACATACACACGGTGCAGCGCTGAGGCTATCACATCTCGCAGTTTGCCGCCAATTTCAGATTTTGTATTTTACAATAAAACTAATTTAATTGAGTTAATTGAGGGTCGATGGGGTACTGAATATGCCGCCATTGGCACTCTCGCACTACACATTCGCGCTATATA